TGCTACACGAGCCACAGCTCCACCTCATCCCCACACCCCAGAGAAGTCACCTGCACTGAGCCCAGGACTGCAACCCCAGGCTACTGCTCTAAGCCTAGCACATGGCTCGCTTTTTGCTATTAAGACGACCCCACGGCCCACCTCGGGTCCCCATCCTCCTCGTCTTAAATCACCCATCCCGGCTGGTGCTTATACTTACTGCAGTAGTGAGAAGCATGGCCGCGATAATTGTTTCCAAGTGCATGGCTATCCTGACTGGTGGGAACCGTTAAAGCTTCAGAAACAACGGGAATGAGATGAGCAAGCCAAGCTTGGGCAAGCCAATCTCGCCACCTCCGTGTCCTAATTATCTTTGATATCTCAAGATGATCCTCCTCCTGTTTCGAGTTCTTCCGACATGTCTTCGGAGTCTTCAGGTAAATGTGGTTATGTTTTTAATATGAATAGTGATGATACTTCATCCGGATGGATCATTGACTCCAGTGCCATATACCATATGACTTATGATCCCACTAATTTAGCTTGTGATACCGTTCCACTTTGACGTAATATTACTAATGTTAAGGGAGTGACCTTACCGATAACTGGCACTGGCACCGTGTGCCTCACGCCTACTCTCTCTTTACCTCATACATTACTTATACGTTCACTAAAGCATAAATTGATGTTTCCTGGCCAAGCTACTGAACAATTGAACTGTTATGTGCTAATGGATCCAAGGTTTTGTCTTAGACAAGATATTCTCAAGAAGGAGATAATTGGTCTAGTTACTAAGAGGGGGGATCTCTATTTTGTGGATGATGTTAGTATAGGACGGGTCAATCTCGCCTAAGGAGCCGTTGATCACAAGCGGCAGATATGGTTATGGCATCACCGTTTGGGTAATCCATTTTTCAGTTATTTGCAGCATATGTTTCCGGATTTATTTGTTGGTTGTTTAGTTTTAGACTTTAAATGCGACACTTGTATACTTGCCAAGAGTCACCGTGTTTCTTATCCGCTGAATTCTAACAAAAGTGCTATTCGTTTTGGTCTTGTTCATTCGGATGTTTGGGGACCATCTCCGATTACTACTTCATCTAGTATTCGATGGTTTATAACGTTCATAAATGATTGCACACATATGACATGGTTATATCTTCTTACGCATAAAAGTGATATTTTTTCAGCTTTTAAGACCTTCCACACCATGGTTCAGACATAGTTTTCTACTAAAATACAGATTTTGCATTTTGATAATGCCGGTGAATATGTTAATAAGATTTTTCACATTATTTAACTAATCACAGAATTCTTCACGAAACTACCTGTCCTCAGATTCCTTAACAGAATGGGGTGGCTGAGTGCAAAAATCACCATCTCTTAGAAACGGCTCACTCACTTTTAATTGGGGGGCATGTTCCCCGCTCCTCTTAAGATGTTGCTCTTCAAACCGCAACTTATCTTATCAACCGCCTGCCATCCAAAGTCCTAGATTTTCTTACCCCCTTACAAGTCATTGCTACATTCGTGCATCTACCGTCAGCTTTCGTACTCTCGCCTTAAGTTTTTGGATGTGTTGCATTTGTTCATCTTCATAAAAATCAGCAGACGAAACTTGAACCGTGTGCTCTTCGTTGTATTTTTATAGGGTACGAACTCCATCAGAAAGGGTACCGTTTCTACCACCCTTATTTCCATCGTATGTACGTTACTATGGATGTTACTTTTTCCGAGTCCGAGATGTATTACCCTTCGGATTCTTCCAATCCTCCTCCTCAGGGGGAGACACGACATGACGAGAAAGATTAGACCATGGATGATACTGTTGATCTTCAGCTGCCACTAGTCAAGCCAGTAGTTGAGCCTATAGTGGCTGCTCTGCTAGCCTAACCAGCAATAGCTGTAGTGCGCCTACATAATCAACGGCAGGCATGGTAGTGCTGTCATCATCCACGGTAACAGTGTTGCCACTTGTCAACTTTGAGACTTCTACTGATGCTACTCCCCCTCGTCTCCAAATATAGTACCACCAGATGACAATACTCTTGAGAATATTCAAGAGGTAGGCTTTAATGTCCTTGTTTATGTATCCGTTGTTCCGAAGATATTCACCGGACACGACGAAAAGCTCTAAATACCCCATTGCCAACTATGTGTCATCACAGAAATAATCAGAACCTGGTAAAGCTTTCATACTACAAATATCCAATGATAGCACACTAAGTTCATTGAAGGAGGCACTATCTAACGATTGATGGACCAAGGCAATGGAGGAAGAAATGGCTGCACTCCAGAAAAATCACACATGGGCTTTAGTTCCACTACCCTGAGGAAAGAAGAAAGTTAGGTGTCGATAGGTGTACACCATCAAGTACAAAGTTGATGAGTTCATTGAACGATACAAAGCACAATTGGTGGCCAAGGGATACACTCAGATGTATGGTGTTATTATACAGAAACATTTGCCCCGGTAGCCAAGATTAATACGGTAAGAGTATTGCTTTCATTGGCGGCCAACTTAGATTGGCCATTACACCAATTTGATGTAAAAATTTCTTTCTTACATGGTAATCTTAAAGAAGAAGTGTATATGGTTATTCCACCTGGTTATGCATCAATTTTACAACCCGGAGTAGTGTGCAAGTTGAATAAAGCGTTGTATGGGTTGAAACAATCACCTCACGCATGGTTTGGTAGGTTTAGGACGGCTATGAGGAAATATGGGCTCAGGCAGAGCAATTCCGATTATACAATTTTTCTTGAAACGTCGAATATTGAAATTGACGACACTTATCATTTATTTGGACAATATGATTGTTACGGGTAATAACAAAGAGGAAATCTCAAAGCTCAAAGATTACCTAGCAACCGAGTTCGAGTTGAAAGATCTTGATGGTTTGAAATATTTCTTGGGGATAGAAGTAGCTCGATCTAAACAGGGTATATTTCTGTCTTAAAGAAAATATGTTCTAGACTTGTTAGCTGAAACTGGAATGCTTGATTGTAAACCGGCTGACACCCCCGTAATCCAAAATCACCATCTGACCGTGCACCTTGATCAAGTTCTCACTAACAGAGATCGTTATCAAAGGTTGGTTGGAAGGTTAATTTATTTACCTCACACCAGGCCAGATATTGCATATGCAGTAAGTGTTGTTAGTCAGTTTATGCATTCTCCAAGTGATGCACATATGGGTGCGGTTGAACGCATCCTATGATACCTAAAGTCCTCGTCGGGTAGAGGCATCATGTTTTCCAAGAATGATCCTTGCCGAATAGAAGGTTACACCGATGCGCAATGTTACTGATCGTCGGTCCACATCTGGATACTTTACATTTGTGGAGGAAATTTAGTGACTTGGCGGAGTAAGAAACAGAAAGTGGTTGCTTTATCAAGTGTAAAGGTGGAATACAAGGGTACTAGAAAAGGAGTATGTGAGCTATTATGACTTCGGAGGTTACTTGGTGAGCTCGAGTATCCTTCAAATTCAACCTCGGATTTATCTTGTGATAATAAAGTAGCTATCGATATCTCACACAACCCAATTCAACATGATTGCACAAAATATGTGGAAGTTAACTGACACTTCATTAAGGAGAAGTTAGATGCGAATATTATTCAATTCCCGTTCGTAAAGTTAGAGGATCAATTAGCGGATATCTTAACTAAAGTTGTTGCAAGTCAAGCGTTCTACAACTCTCTTGTCAAGTTAGGCTTGAACGACATTTATGCACCAACTTGAGGGGGAATGTTGGAGAGTTGACCTTTTGTAATTAGTTTAGTTACCTATTTGGGTCCTTGTAATCAAATTGTAATTAGGAAAGATGTTATTTGATGTTTCTTTCCTTGTAAATCACTCTTGTACATTATATATTTTCCTCCTTGGTGAGAAGAATGATATCAGGAAATTAAACCCCAAAAATAAGCCCTTATTAGCATCCTACTCTATGAGTTCAAATCCCACTATTTAACATTTTATAATTGTACATTTCTTACTTAGTAACCTATAGCTAAATCACATGTTACTTGAAAAATCCCTCACCCCCAACAATATGCACTCAAGAGGATATGGTTGATGTTATCCTGGCTTGGACAGTTGCATATAAATTTGGATATAAGGCTCTTCAAATGCTTCTTCTACTTGTTGGTGAAGAGAACTGGATAGAAGGAAAAAGCACATACAACGGGATCACCAAAAATGCTTTGAATATCGATACCAGACAAGGCGGATGGAACTAAAGCAGGCATTTGGCTTTCCAACTCCTTAAAATTAAGCCAGGAACAGTTGCAATATGCCATTTTTTACCTAGTGGTAAAGTTATTAGTGGATATCTGATGTATTTCTTGTTCCCTAAGTAATGTTTAATGTACATCAGTACATGGTCCGTTTACATTAAATAAATCTCATTACCTTGTTTAGTACTCGCAAAGATTGAGGGAGACCATGATCCCATTATCTCTTGATCTTTTGATTAAAGTATATAATGAGCTGCATATGGCACTTTATCGAGTAGTGGAAAGCAATCGTGATTATGCACCCTGGTGCAAGTTCGATCTCTACTGATTTTCCTCCTCCCCAATAACTAACTATTTAACACTTACTCTATTGCTCGATCACTAAAATGCTGAGTGGACTTTACATATAATGGGGTCGTTGATGTCAAAGTCTGGCCTAATATAGGACTTCCCTGCAACTTGTTTGTATTACAATCTTCCTACATCTCTCATCACGCGATTTTTAGCCTTTATAAAGACATCTTAGATCTGTCTATGGGCTGATGAGAGATGTAGAGAGGGGACAAAACACTTCAACTCAAATACTTCAGAAAAACGCATTTCTAGCTTACCGAGGTTTCAACTCCAAAATACAAAAAATAAAAAATAAAAAATTCAATGGAGAAGGGTAAAAAAAAAGCTTCACGCACTAAGAATGAATTAGAACCTGACAAGTGGCTAGCTAATGAATATTTTCGTCCTAATTGGGTTCTTTGAAAAACAAAAAAAAGGATTTTGTACAAAACTTAATAGGGTGTTTGTTTCAAATATCAGCGGCACTTGTAATAAATTAGATACATAAGGAAAAGAAAATGAACACACAAGAAACCTCCATGAACAAATGAAATGCAGACAGATTCAGTTGGACAAAATTCTTCATGATTAGACGAGAAACTCGAACATTATGCGATGATCAGTATCAATATTCCATGTTTTACTTCCTGCACCTCCAAGCTGACACCGAAAACAGCGGTCGATCTTGCCAGGAAATCAACACACAACCGTTCTCTTCCCTCATTCTATACCCGTCGCAACCATAGCTCTGCAACATCCTCTTTGCCTGCAGCATTCCGTAATAGCTCAAGGGCACATTTCCAAAGCCAGCTAAATCAAGCCTTTGAATCCATTTCTCAAGCTTTTCATGTCTTTCGGTCCTCTCAGATCCCTCGCAAGCTATAATGTTTTTTATCTCTTCCCCAAACAGCATTTTCTCTACCTTCAGTCTCTCCAATGAGGTTCTCGACATCGTAGATTCCAAGCAATCAAACAATGCAGCATACGAGTACAGAGATTCCAATAGTCTCTCCATCAGAGTGGATCCATTATGGTTAGAATCTTGCTCAGTTATTACCATAACCTTCGGAGTCAAACCCCAAAATGCATTAAGAAAGCTATCCAATTTTGCCGAAGGAGTTAAAGATAGCGGTGATGACGAGGTTGAATCAGGACTCGGGCTATACCCGTTACCCATCTCTTTCTCTAGCAACTCACCCAATGTGCCTTGGCTCATTTGCAATGCTCTTGGCAAGTGATTTCCATTTGAACCCCTTGATGCTAATGGGGACTTCTTTTTCAGGAGTCCATCATCCGACGCCAAAAGGGAGTGCAACTGGAGAACTGAGCTGATAGCTAGAGCCTCGCCAGTTTTGACACGAAGTTTGTCCATATCGAGATTTTCCAATTTGCTGATTATGGGACAGAACTGAAATGGGATATCCAATTTTTCGGCTTCCTCAGTCAACCTATGAGCCATTTGATCCAGTACCTCTTTCCGTTGATGAACACCGGTGATTCTCAAATGAGGCGGACCTTCAGGTCTTGCACTTAAAACTTGAAGAAGAGTAATCCACTGAACAGGTTCAGCTGCATTAAGATCAATTATATGCACCATCTTTTCCCCTTCCATGGCTTCCATAATAGCTTGGTTTGTGAGCACAAAAGCCACCTTTAGGAAGGGAAGCATCTCGAAAAACACTTTCCGAACTAGAATTTCATCTGAAACCAAAGATATTTTAGTGGAATTCAGTGCCCTGTGAAGACCGGGCCAAGCTTTGAGGATTCGATCAGCAAGAGCCTCGGTGAAGTAGGCAGCAATCCGCTGCATGGTATCACCGTCAGCAGCGGCGAGTTGGGAGATTTGCTCAAGGGCGACATTTGCATTTTCAAGGCTTCCGGTGGCAACATGGTTTGCACAAGTGAGCAACAAGTGGATCAAATACAAACCGCGGTCCTCGGATTTGAGTTCTTTAAGCCAAGGGTATGGTGAGCCTAAACTAGGTGAAAGCGAAATCATGGAAAAGCATTGGAGAGGAGATGAAGTTGCAGACGACGACCCTTCGTCTTGAAACATTGGTGCCATATGTATATCAAACAAGAATGATTTGGTAATTAATTGGATAACAAAGTTGGCCGAATAATTCAGGGGATTTCTAAACAAGTACCCTATTCCTAGTGTTTATGCAAGAACCAAATTGCACGAATTCACAATTTGAGAAAAATGTGTACTCTCAAACAAGCATTCACAACAACAACAAACAAAAGCACTTATAACCAAAGTGCTTTTCAGACAAAAGCAGGCCTTACTCCTCAGCAATAGCACCTAATTGGCTAAGAATTTATAGAATGTATGATCTCAAATATGCGAAGAAGGCCCCAAACTATCAGAAAAAGGGGTTTCGATTTTATCAGTACTAAGAAAAATATCAGAAATTCAATCAAACCCCTACTAGAAAGACTAAAATGGGCAAAAAACCTATGATAAAATCAGATTAGATTCCCAAAGAAAACAAATGAAATTCAGGAGAGAAGTCGCGTGAGAAATCACAAGTAGAACAACAGAAGCAGCTGAAGACAGAAACTAGTTGCAGAAGAACTAACCAAGAGAAGAAAGAAGAGGGAAATCCTTGGTGGGTTTTGTAATTGATCAAAAACCCAAGTAGAAGTCAGAACCCCCTGAGAATTCAAGGAAAGCAGCCTTCTGGGTTTTGAGCACAGAGCTGATGTTCTTCTTCTGGGTTTTTTTGCTCTGTTTTTATGAGATTTGGATGTTAATAAAATTGGAAGTTGGGAGTTTTTGAAGAGAGACAGAAGCTCATGGCTTTGGCTTCGTTGTCGACAATGCGTGGAGGAGTCCTTTTGTCCTTATTGATTTGTTGTCCTTGTTTCCCAAGTGGAACATGGAATTTGTGAGAAGATGAGCCAACTTTAAAACAGAGTATTCTGTCCCTCAAAAACTCTAAGAAACCTACTTTATTTGAATTTTGTCTTGACCTGAGGTGGATAAGGAATCAGATGTGGCCCAAAAACTTGTTAATATTCCCAAAGGTTAGAAGAATTCAAACATGCCCTAACAAAGACAAACAGAGGATTTGTTTGGTAGTGGAAGGGGGCAAGTGTGGGAATTGCAACAAAGCTCTTTGGGTGATGCCAAAACAGAGGACTTGTCTTTTAATTTGTTCTGTTTTGATATCGCCATCTCATGATCATACAATTGGAATTTTTTTTTGTTTAACAAACGATACTATTTATATTAAGAGGGATGAGAGGGTAGGCTCAACCTCACAATAAGTTAGTAATAATATGGTTCATATTTGTTTTTGACGAGAATCAAATCCAAGACCTCTCACTTACAAGTGAAGAAAAATATCATTAGGCTGTACAATTGATATTACCTTGGTAATATTAAGACAAAGAAACAAGGAGGTTAAGCAACCCTCCAAAAGGTACATGCCATTTTTATCTCTACTTCTTGGTGGACTCCCATTTGGATCACTTTCTTCTTTCTTTTTTTAACGTCTTTTTGAAATATTTGAATTAATTAACATTGTGTTTTTGAAACCTATCATGCACTACCTAAGCGTAGATAAGTTAGTTAAATCATTATGCCCCTCGTTGGACTTAAATTTGAATCTTCATTTCGTAATTTATAAATTTTATAGGGATAGAGCTTAATGCATCTCAAAAAATAAAAAAATAAAAATTACAGCTAATATTTAGCCTAAATTTATAAAATATGAAAATTTAGTTCATATGATTGTTAAGAATAAGTCCCACATTGATGAAATAAGAGATCTTGCATGGACTTATAAGAGATTGTGCTACTCCTTATATTACCAATTGGTTTTACGATAGAATCCCAACTTTCTTGAATGATATGCCAACATCATACTTTATGTTCCAATAAGTAAGGAAAATATGACAATTAATGTTATCCTTTAGTGGTATTCTTTTCACTTGTAAGTGAAAGATCTCATATCCGACCCACATAAATCCCATAAATCACAAAGGCGTACTATACTTTGTTAAGTTTGATACCAAGTTAGTGACTAACTCATTGTTTTTTCCTTGATTAGAATTTGTTTTTCAATAAAAATTAAGAAATTTCCATCAGAGCCCCTTGAATGAACATGCCCCGTCATATGGTTGAGTTTTGCCACTTAGTAAAATACACGTAGTTGATCCAACCACGAAGTGCCATGTCGACAATACACATCAAAGAGCATTTCATCGGCTTTTTATGACTTTTGTGTATAAAGACAAAGATGATAAGATATCAATGGTGATTTTGGTGCATGAAAGACAGAAAAATCCCAACTATAAAATCAAAACTGTCACTAAAAGGTAAAAGGTGTAGATGAGTGGTTGGTGATCCCTTTAATTGCTCTATTATTTTCAACAACTAGGGATACGGCAGCCTCCCTTCTCTTCATTATTAGAAGCAGTGATTTAAAAAGAAAACTCCATTGCAAAATCCTGCTAAAAATAAATTTATTTTGTCAATACCAAATAATCTAACAAGCAATGGAAAAAACTAACATCCACTATAACCCACCCCCAACCCAATATGATAGGTTTATCGGTGAGATTACATGAAGCCAATCATGAAAATTAATGTGGTCGGACTTTGATTATACATCCCCATCCTTCACCAAAATTCTCTTGTTTTAGGACAATCTTTAAAAGCATGAGCCACTAATTCAAAGCCACAAGTACATTTTTGACACTCATGGTTATCAGTCATACCTCATTTTCAACCTTTGTTCATTAATTAAATGCTTATCAAGAGAGAGCAGCTATAAGAAACTCTGAACTTTTGGAGGAATATGAAGTTTCCAAATGATTTTTTGCATATTAGGAAAACCAATAGAATTAATGGCCAACATATAAGTAGATTTAACAAAAATTTATCATCACTTGTTCCACTCCAAATACACTATTAGCCAAAAGCACAAAAACCAACTGGAATGCTAAGAATTTGTTCAACAATCTCCTTTGGTAAAACAAGTAATAGTTTACCAATATCCCAACCATTACCGTAACAATAATCAGTTATAGTAGCCTTCAGCATATCGTTTTAGAGTGGGCAGCTAGCATGATGAAGCAAAATACCACATTTAGCCCATTTCTCAATCCAAAAATCTTCCGTATTACCATTTCCAATTCGCCATAATAATCCCCGTGTAAAAGTTTAGTCATTTCAAGAACACTTATTCAAGTACAAGAAGAGGCTAAAGCAGTTTTATCATTGAGTAATTACTAATATTACCTTTAATTTACTTTCCGTTGAAAACTTTTGCCCAAAACCACAGACCATTTCTCTTTTCCTTTAATTACCAATTCTACGTAACAAAACATGCATTGCATTCCACTATCAAAATCAGATATCTAGGACCTTTTGCCTTGGACCCGACCGCTCAAGTGTTGTAAATAGTGCACTTGGGACCTTCATAACAGCCACGAGACCAATGACACAATATTTACAGTAAAACTCATTCAATGAAAAACAATACGAACTCCTTGTCACATGCACTTTCACTCTATGACCTCAAATTCAAGATTTGACCCTAATAAAATGTTCATTTCTTAAGTTCCAAAATAGTAACTTTCAAACAATTATCAATTCTGAGCTACCGAACAAGGTTTTTTTTTTGGCGAAAAATGAAAACTAGAAACAAAAATAAAAAATGAATATCAAAGAAACACTTAATATTCTAGAATCTTAAGAAGGAGGAAACAATGGCAGTGTTTAGAAAGGAGACACTTGATTTCTCACCTAAATTTGTAGTTTATTACAGATCAATAAGCAGATTATCCACTCATTCAGTAGCTTCTATCTCCTACAAAATGTACGCGACAAAGAGTCCCAAAAAAATAAGCACATAAATTAACCATAAATAGATTTGGTGTAGATTATCTTATCGTTTGCAAAAATCAGTTAATATTATTACTATTCTGTTTTTGTTTTTGAGTAGTAAGAAGATGCAGTATTGAGACTTTGTGTACCATGGCACTAAGATACCCTAATGGTTGTAATGTACACCAGAACCTCGCGCTTGGCCTTCTCGATGCTGCCGCATTTATCATCATAGCGAAAGTAATAAACGCATATCGCCGTGAAGGAGAATTAACTCAACTGGTCGAAATGATCGGCTTCCAGATCCCGTTGACTCTACTAGAATTATGCTTATAGGACACCATTTTTTGCACACCATTTGCAATTGGTGGCTATAGATATAAAGCACTCACTCTTATTATTTTTTGGTGTCTTTACAGTGGGATGCCACTGATAACGGTGGCCTTCAACAATGAGACACCAATGATTGGTATCTGTTAAATAGCTTTATTTCGTAAAATTACTTTTCTTCTACTTTTTTGTTTTATTATTTATTTTTAGGCACTGAAGTGGTGCTGTTTAATTTTTTTGTTTTGAAAGCTAGGATATATTTTGCAATTTTGTTTCGAACGCTGCGATATTGTAAACACGAAAATTCCTAAAACAAGAACACGTGTGCAAAATATATTTTGTATTGATTTTGGGGTTACAATCTCTTTTACAATTTGATCCTCTGATTCTATCTTCGTAAAATGTAGATATGTGGATGGGCTGTTGATCCAAAAGGCCATCGGGGCTTGGTCTAGGGATGAACAGTTATGCGGATTTATTGATGTTGTTGATCCAAAGGGTCGTCGGGGCTTGATCTTAGGATGAACGGTGGATGAACGGATCTTCAAGGGCTTTTGGGCTTGATCTTGAAGAACGGGTGTGTGGATTTGTTGATGGTGTTGATCCAAAGGACCGTTGAGGCTTGATCTTAGGATGAACGGATGATGAACGATGAACACTTTCTTCAAGGGCTGTTAGGGCTTGATCTTGAAGGTTGAGGGAAGTTTCTTCAAGGGCCATCGGGGCTTGATCTTGAAGGAGGATTTGACGAAGAACGAAGAGGGCTTTCTTGATCCTTCGGGATTTGCTTGAGAGCTTGAGAGTTTCAAAGCTTCAAGGTTTTGGTGTGATGTCAATTGGTCTTCTTTCTCCCCCTTTAACCCTTGATGGAGAAGCCTATTTATAGGCTTTGAGAATGAATCATCACCATCCTTTCTTTTTGGTGAAGTGAGTGGATGTTGTAGGTGAGATGAGTGGAGTTTGTAGGTGAAATGATTGTGTGATGTAGGTGAAATAAATAAAGGTTGTAATTTTAATGCATTGGTCAACATTTATTTCACTGAAATTTCGATGTCTACAAATGCCCCCACTTCAAGGCACGTCATATACATGTGTTTGTCACGTGTAGAAGATGTGTTTTGAAGTCCCTTAATGGAGATGTTGATCTAAAGGCCGTCGAGGCTTGATCTTGAATTCGACTGGAAGATTTTCTAGTTTCCTCCAATCGTTGATTTTCCACAGGCTTAATTTTTTAATTGGGCTGGAAGGTTTTCTGGTCTCTTCCAAAGGTCTGAACTTACTCCTTTTATCTAGAGCTGAATTTGATTTAAGGGTAGTGAACACTTGATTTTGAATCAGACTTGTGATTTCTTCAAGGGCCATCGAGGCTTGATCTTAAATGAAAATAGGACCACGAACGGTTTCAGGATTTGGATACATGGCAGGCAAGCACGAAGTGGAGCTGATGGCCTGTTTCTTTTTTCAATCTTTCCAATTCATATTGAAGAGGGTTAGGGGATAAATCAGCACGTGAAGTTGTTGCGTTTGCTGACGATCCACAAGATTGATGTTTCATTGTCACTCGTCTTATCTGTTCTCTAGGCAGATGTGGTATCTTCTCTGGAAGTGTATCAATCGTTGAAGACGACTACTCGAGAGCAACGCTAGGTAAGCAATTAGGGAAGAGGTTCCAGGCAGTTAGTTCCAAATCGGAAGGCTGATTCCAAGTGCCGACTGATTGCTCTCTTTCTCC